AGGATCAAATCCCTGGCCTCTGCACCTACTTGCAGGTGCTTTAATCCACTGAGCTATTTGGCCGGCCTTAGCTATTCCTGTTTCAAAAATTTGTAACATACTTATTATTCTTACATGTTGCCTTGTTTCTGTCTTTTTTTCTATTTGTTTCTGCTTCTGTTTTTACACTTCAAAATAAAATAAAATTGAATTAAAAAAAAAAAAGGACAACACTTTGAATTGTTGTTACCCCCAAAAAATGACAGACAGTTTAAAGGCTGAAGAGATTTTTTTTTATTATTTACCATATCTTAATCAACTTAAGACTTTACTCTTAAGTTTAAAAAAAGACCAAATGTTGCTATTATTTTTGTAACCAAAGATGCTTTTTCTATAGAAATGAAATCTGAGTTATCTGTAACTCTTCCTCACTGAAGAGTAATGTAAATAAATTTCAACATTAGCTTAAAAACAATCAGTGAACACAAACTACCCAGAGAAAATTTAATAATCTATTTCAACCCAAGAATATTTAGAAGGCATTTGTGGCTCTCTTGTATCGCTTGCCACCAGTTATCAACATGTGGTTACAAACCAGTGGCTACTGCTACAGTTCCCTTAGGTCACCAAGATGAATAATAAAAATCAGAGGCTGCAGCAGTGTAGATCAAGTCTATGGTCTGAATGCTCATGTCCTCCCCCATTCACATGATGAAACCCCAAACCCCATAGTGATGGTATGAGAAGATGGAGCCTTTAGGCACTAATTAGGATGTGAGGATAGGCTGGGGAGATAGCTCAACAGTATAAGTGCCTGCCTGGCAAGTGCAAGGACCTGGGTTCGATCCCTAGTACACATGTCATGCCAGTCCCAGGACCCTGGTAATCCCATCACTGGTGAGGCTGAGATCGGAGGATCACTATGAGTCTGAGCTGCACAGCAAGATCCTGTACCAAATAAATATTGATACAGGGTCACGGATTTTAAAATTTAAAAAGAAAAAAAAATTTGATGTGAGGATAGTCTTCATGAATGGAATTAAAGCACTGACAAAAGAACAAGGGAGAACTTTTCACCCATGTACTCCATCACGTGAGGACAAAGCAAGCAAGTGCCATCTATGAAGCCAGACATAAGCCCTGATCAGACATCTGCCAGTGCCTTGACCTTGGACTTCCCAGACTGTACAAGTGCTCTGTATAAGCCCCCAAGGCTGTGGTCCTGGGTTACAGCAGCACAAGCAGACCAAGGTAACATCACAGAGTACTCACAGAAACAAGAGACAGCTCTCCATGGTGGGTTCCTCCTTTACTGGGCGACTGGAACTGCACAGGGAGGTAGCTCTTGTGAGGGTCACTGGTAAAGACCACCTGGACAATAATAAGGCCGATATTTAAGTAACTATACCCTCCTCCCAGGGGGCCTTCAAACTTCACTAAGCTATCTCCCTGGGCCTCAGTCTGTCTAGATGCAAGTGAATATTAATAGCACATACCTTAAAACAAAGAGAGGCTTTCCACTCTAAAAACAATGTCTTTAAAGAAGCCACTGAGGGCTGCAGATGCAGGGCTATGGTAGAACCCTTGCCTTGCATGCTCAAGGGTCTGGGATCGCGCCCAGGACCATTAAAAAAAAGTAAATAATTTTTATATGTGCTGCACTTTTTGAGAAATGCCAATAAAACATGTCATTTCTGTATCACTTTTTTACACATAGCTCTAGTAGCAATACTGGAATGGAGTCACAATCTGAGAACTAAGAAATAACCAACACAGCAACTGCTAACTCCAAAGTGTGTACAAAACACAACCAGCCAGAGTCAATCAGTGGAGTGCAGGGGAAAAGTACTTTCCTTACAAATTTGGACTCTGCTTCTTCTAAGCATCCCATTCTGGACTGGGCCAAAATCCAGGCAGGGAGGGGAAAGTACAGAAACTGGAAACACAGATGTTTCAGAGTACAGCTCTGATGGCAAGGAAACCCTGTCCCTTTCCTGCTGGTGAGAAAACCCTGTCGTTTTCCGCCTCCCTCCCTGCCTTTACCTGGTGGGTGCCGCAGCCCCGGCAGAGTCCTGTGAGCATGGACGGCATGCGCCTGGCCGCCGACGGCTTCCTGGAGTACCGCGGATAGGCCTTGGCCATGCAGTTACTGACGTCCTTTGAGTCTGTTGCCGCCTGGATCTTGACTCTTTCGCATCCCTGAGATGAGCAGTAACTGTGGCCATCCCTGTGGCTTTTGGCTCGGAGATACAGAAACAATAACCTGCACAGAACAAAAACCAATCCATGTGGTGTTAGGCTTTCTCTCAAAAACTAATAAAATCCCTCAGACTGACTCATGGCCAAAAGGATATTTCTCTAATAAATAACTTTTCCTTAAAAAAGAAATAAATTAGGAAGTTAATAAAACTATTGCTTTTCATCCTATCCTCTAAGGATCTCAAGTCAAACGCAGTACTGCTATGGAAAATATTTTGATACCTTGATTTAATCACTCAGGAAGATATCAAAGTTATTCTGGTTTAACTTGGTTCACTAGATAATTTGAGAGTATGGAATTTGGCATGATTCAAAATACATACTGATGTTGAGTTTAGGATGCAACAACTTATTGTGTTTTATTATTTTTGTTGTTGTTGTTGGGGCTGCTGCTGTTGCTGTTGTCCATAAATCATTTTGGTTTAAGGCACAAAACTTAGAAAAATAACAACTTTGACTTTTTTAGCTAAAGCCAAGGACTATCTCAAATCAATTCCTGCGTTTTCCAAGAGCACGTGGACCTTCCATCCATAACTGGGCCCTCATCAGGCTAACAGAACAGTCCCATCCGTTCTGAATTATGTTCTTACTGCCAACATGAACGAAAAATCTAACTTCCGGGCAGCAGTCCAATGTCTATAAGCCCAGTCTTTCTAAACCAAAGGAACTCAAGATTCTAAAGGACTTGATAAAATGAGATTACCAGAAATCAACAATTCATATTTTAATTAATGAGGCCAATGAGCTTTGCAAAGTTGCCATCATGGGACCAAAACAAGAAAAAAAAAAATCAGCAACTGTTCCAACATCCAGTAACTTTATTAGACATTTTAAGGAAAGACATGCACTAAGTGGACATGGTCTTTTTATATACAGTTAAAATAGTCAAAACAAACAGAATTAAAAAGAAACAGATCTTCAGAGACTGGAGGATTTTGAAATACTCAAACCAGAAAATACTTTCCATCTTTTTATACAGGTAATCACTACTTTGTAGTTACAAGAATGTCCTTAAAAGATTTGGGTATTCTGTTTATTTCTATGGAAATGCAACAGGAAATGCATTGTCACCACAAAACAAAATTGCAGGTAGGTTGTTCAAGTCTATTAAGAGACTGAAACCAATGTTTAGAAGACGGCTCTGATGCACATCACACTGGCTACTGCAGATCCTGGACAGCAAATGCATTGCTTCGAAGGCTGACCAGGCACTTAGAGTGACTGAACCCCATCTTCCTGCCCTCAGTCAATCTCACCACTTGTCTCCCCACTCTGAATTTTTTGCCTTTCCCCAAACATGCCATGCGGTCCTTCCATGCCTCCGAGGATTTGTGCACGCTGTTCAGCCTGCCTGTGACACCTCAGCCTCCTCTTATTCCACCTCCTGACTGCTCCTCCTCAAGATCAGCTTCATATCACCCTCTCGGGATGTCACTGGTTACTCTCAGCTGAACTGAAAGAGTTTGCCCCAAAGCTATATGAGATATCCTACACTATAGCACTTAGAGCATTTAAACCATTTGCTTTCCAGTTACTTGCTTTGCATCACTTCAGTGGATGAATCTGCAGAAGAAATGCCTCCTATTTACATTACGACCTTGAAAGTTCCTAGACAACAGTACGTTGGAGGAACGTCCACCCAAAGATGGAGCTAAGGGGCATGCTACTTGCTGGGACAGCACAAAAGATCGAGCCCACCATAGTTCTCAGGCTGTGAGACTGTCATAAAGCGACAAAGCCAGCAGGACCCCAGGAAAACAGGATTAGAATTGAAAAGTGGAAAGGCGCAGCCTAGAGAAAGTTGAAAGCAAATACGCCATGGTTATATGGTGATTTTTAAACGCTCAAGGTCAACTTGAGAGATAACCTTAAGTCAGCAGAAAAAGAAAATTGAGTTTTCCCTCAAATATGAAGTACATCCCTCCCATGTAAAATTTAACCATTTTCAGAGTTGTTACAGGAAAATTTATTTTCATTTTCAACTGGGCCTGCTGGTTCGCTGACAAGGATAATCTCTCTAAATTGCCTTAATAGGTAAATGGCAAACATCTTCATTCAATGCCTGCTGCCAACTATAATTACAAGTCATTCTGCTCCCCTTGAAACCCCTAATAATGATGTGCACAGAAGCACCTACGTCAGCTACTTTTTCCTAACAACCGTCACACCACAACCTATTCTTAGCCTCTCTGAAGAACTAGTAATTTCACCATTGAAGAAAAACAGCATTAATTCTTAGCCTCTGGTTCCACTGAATTACCCCGTGCTGGAGTCAAAATAGAATTTCCTCTCGGCCTGCTTTCTCTGCAGCTCCTCCAGAGAGAGCACCGGCTCATACTCCTCAGTTCTGGACAATGAGCCATTCTGCCGCTGCAGAAAGCCAAAGGTAACCTGGAAGGTTGTGTTGGATGGGTAGCAGAGGCCAACTCGAATCCAGTCATTCCTTTAAAGGGGAGACAATAAAAAAATTAAGACTCACTTCTTACAATTTATACGAATTTTACCCATGAATCACTCCTCAGATCTCTGCTGTGTTGAGCTAGCACCAATGGGACTCTCAGAACCCTAACATAATCAGGCATCTCCGTGGTTACTAACATTTCTTCCACTAATGTACATCAAATGATAACACGGCCTACAAAACATTATTTTCAACAAGATTGAGAGGATACTGACAAAGGATCTACAAACTGTGGTACAGGGTTTCAGGGTAAATCCTGAAGGGACTTGACTGACCTTATCAGATACAAAAGATACATTTCTTGTTATATAGGTCTTGCTTTATCTTGGTCTTAACCACCCAGCAGAAAAGTATAAAGATGAGGTATTAAAAAGTAAAGCCATATTAATATGCTGAGCTGTAAAGGGCTGAAGTTAACAACTTCTGACATTGCCAGTCCTACAGATAACCTACTACTATTATAGACTACTGGATTATACTGGAATATTTTGCTGAATTCACAGACCTATAATATTTAAATGACAATGGAATACTCACTCTGAAAAAACTAAACAAAAACAGGGGATACAAATGAAGGACCATTTGGTATCTGTATATACAAAATAGGATAGTTATACAGCTACTTTCTCTTAATTTAATGAATAAAAACATTTGTTCTAATAGTGTTTGGGCAGGATATCATGTCTGCATCTTCTACTATGAATAAACACTAAGAAGACAACAATATGCATTGTATTTATAATTATTGAAACTGTCCTACTAATTGGTTTTGAAACTGCCTCATTGCTATTTGTTTCTCAATAAAATTATTTTTTTAAAAATTGAGAGGAATAGAAGTTGGATAAAATGTACTAAAATAGTCCAGATGGTTAATAAAGGTAAGTAAGATGGTCAGCTGTGTGTACACCAAGATGAAAACGCAGCTTAACAATGGAAATACGCACAATGGAAATACCAGCTTAACAATGGAAATACCAGTAAAAGCATTCTGAGTAACTTTTTTGTTTATAAACATATTTCTATGTTTTTAAACACTAATAAGATGAACTTCTAATGGCAAAACTGCTGAATTATATAAAAGTACGTGCCATTCTCAAGCTTTTGATGTACAGTACTAAATTACCTCAGTATTTTTCCTGAAGTCCTTGAGAGTAAAATTAATTCTCGAAAAACATTAGAAGTATTTTCCTATATTCTTTTTCCACTGTTTTTATTATGGTAAAATATATACATCATAGAATTTAGCATCGTAATCACTGTTTCCGGTATAGTTCAGTAGCACTAGAATATGCACAAGGTTGTAGACATATTACCACCATTTATTTTCAGTCTTTCCCCATGGTTTTTTTTTTTTTAACTTTTTTTTAATGTTTTATTTATTTGGTACAGGGCCTCACTACGCAGCTCAGACTCATAGTGATCCTCCTGTCTCAGCTTCCCCAGCACTGAGATTACAGGTGTGTACCTCCATGCCTGTTTTTGGTGGCTGGCACAGCCAACCCAGTATTCTAGGCCAGCACAGCATGCGGTACAAGGGATCTAACCCAGGTCCTTGTGCTTGCCAGGTAGGCACTTAGACCACCAAGCTATCCCCCCAGCCCCAGCCCCATCTTTCTAAGTAACCTTGCAACAATATGTAACAGGACCCTAAAATTGTTCACACAAGTTCTACCCACATAAGCTTAATTATTCTAGAAAATAATTAGAAATATGGACAAAAGATACGGGAAGATATCCTATGAGGTACTGCCTATGATAGCAAGAAAAAAAGAAAAAAGAGGAGGAAGCATTAAATGTTCACCGGCTGAAGAAAATTAGGGTACGTCTCTATGCTAAGAAAATCCTGAAGGGCCAGAGAGATGGCTCAGTAGAATAAATGCTTCCCTGGCAAGCACAAGGACCTGAGTTCAATCCCCAGTTCTGGGGGGGTGAGGGGGACCTCATTACAAAAAGGCATCTCCAATCAGGTTGAATAAATGCTTTACCTCACACCACATATGTATTAAGCTGTAGCGCTAGAGGTGCCAATAATTGAAAATCCTGACAGAGAAAGAAAAGAACCATACTGTGTAAATGTTACATGCCTTCTTTTGATTGGAAAGATTATAGATTATTTCTATTTTTTCTTTCATTTTCTTTACCATGTTCAATGCTTGAATATAGTTTTTATATTATAAAAGTTATTTTTGGAAATAAAATCATGACAAATTTACACCCTTCCTATAATTGACATTAAACACTTGGGAAAAAATGATCCATCTCTTCTCCTTGCATCTGCTCATCACGTAATTTTTATGCTTTTAACTAATTAGAAGAAGAAAGGATGACTGAGCCAGGCATGACAGCACATGTCCATAAGCTTGGCACTTGGGAGGCTGACGCAGGAGGATTATCTTGAGTTTGAGCCCAGCCTGCGGTACACAGCAAGGCCAGGCCAGCCTAAGCTACACAGTGAAACACTGTCTTAAAAAAAAAAGTAAAAGAAAACAAAACAAAACGCAAAAGGAAAGGATGACTAAATTTCAAGCCCATAAGAACGTCCAAAACTTCTAGGCTTAAGTCTTTTTCCACTTTACAATGTTTTTACTTCCTTAACAGGTGATGGAAAGATTAATGGTACTTGCAGAACCTACATTTGATTTTATCATAACTTCTCACTTCAACCTCAAAATCCCTCTCAGGATTTAACCCAGAGCCTCTCAATTGCTAGCCAAATGCTAACCCTGGATGTCTGTCTGTCTATCCATTCGTCTTTCCATTCATCCACCCAGCACAGGGTCTCCCTACGTCATCCAGGCTGGCCTCCAAATTGCAACCTCCTGCCTCAGTCTCCTGAGTAGCTGGGGTCATAGACTTGTACCTCTCAATATAACTTTTCAGAACACAATCTCTCTTTGATATTTCTTCTCCATTCTCCTATCATTTCTTTCTTTCACAGCTTTCTCTGCACCTCTGTCTAGATTAGGCTCTAAGAAATCTCACCTTGAAGAAAATAATTTGCATGTTTTTGCCATAAAGAAATAATAAATGGTCAGGGGTGTTGGCACATGCCTATAAAAAGGGCCAAAAAATCCTTTCATGTCAAATACATGGGATGTGTCCCAATTTTCACCTCTGACCCATAGCAGATGCTACCAATCAAATCTACTTTGAATTTCTCTTCTGTTAGGTGTAAATTTGACCTCAGAAATCTAATAAACCACATAGAACTTCCTGTTCCACCTAGAGAGAATTAAAGCATTCTGCAGACAGTGATCTATTCCTCAATCATTTTCTGTACATAAAACATTCACCATAGAGAACAATGCAAAATGATAGGACCAAATCTGTATAAATAATCCCATAATTCACTGACACAAAATATACAGCTTCTTTACCTCTCCATAAAAGGAGAAAAATACATGAAATTGGCATTCCTTTAAAAAAAAAAAAAACACTGATACAGTGTCTCATTACGCAGCTCCAACTCAAAGTGATCCTCCTGTCTCAGCCTCCCCATCACTGGGATTACAAACGTGCACCACCACACCCAGCTCCAGGGCAGGCCAGCACAGCATAACATACCTGGGAGCAAACTCAGGTCCTTGAGCTTGCCAGGCAGGCGCTTAGACCACCGAGCTATCTCCCTGGCCCCAAAATTGGCATTATTCATAGGAAAGAAATACGTTATTTCCCCTCTTTTAAAAATATACTTACTAGCAAATATGAACTCCACAAAATAATGAATTTCATTAAGACAGGTTGAAAATGTTACTCTTTTTATCCACTAAGTCACTATTTGCTCAAATACTGTTCGTTTGAAACAGGAACAGAAGCCTACTTGTTGAAGTTCACGAGGTACAGGAAGATGGTCCGGGGCGCCAGCCCATTCCAGTGGATGGTGTAGCCTTTCTCCAGCATGATCACGGGCTGGTACTGCGGGAAGGTGGCCCTCTGGTTAATGCCCCGGAGCACCATGGGGTGGGACGGGTACTCATCTCGCACGATGGTCATGGTAAGATTCTGAGTGCTCCACGTCTGTACATACACCTTAAAACATTAAAAAGTAAGACATGATGGGCAGAGAATAAGGGTTTCCATAGCTAAACAATAGCTTTGTACTTTGCTAGTACAAAGTTGGGGTCTCTCTTAGAAAAGAGAGGTTCCATGGACTAAATGACCAGCCACTAACGGCGTCCTGAGCCACACGCTCAGCACAGCCTGCTTCAATGTGACATGGTGAAACAGGCTGCATTCTGCTCACCAGGGCCTCTGTCATCAGTTCCATCACCACAGAGCAGCTTGTTCACCAAAATATAAAACGCATGTGGTTTATCTGTCCTGTTG